CCTCAGGGCCCCCACAAAATTGCACACCCTTGACTTGTAGAGCCACAGTTGGCTTCGGCTCATTAGCTTAGCCAAATTAAGATAAATCAAATTGTGGCTTGGGGCCATGTGTGATTGGAATCTTTTTCTCTCTGGGCAGTGTATTGTGGGAACTTACTGAGATATTATTTATTTACTACATTTTGAAACCAGCGATCAGCAACAGCTGCTAGGCCATAAACCACGAATGTAGAAATTCTTGGCTAAAGATAACGGGTGCCAGACGATGCAAAGTTTTCCTTATTTTTTAAAAGGCTTTCTGGAACGGGAAGAGGAAACTTGTAAAGACTGACTTCCCTTCCCGATGCGTTCACTATCTCTGGGCTGAAAAAATATCCCAGGAGATGAACAAGAAAATAGGAAGTCTTACCACCGAGATACAACGAAGTGCAAATAAATAAATAAAAAAAAAGTAACCCATTCCGCTTAGTTTACAAACGGTCTCAGGCGCCTGCGCTGAGTTCCAGCCTCTAATGGTCTTTTTTTTTGCAGCTGGAGGGGCGAAGGATGCGACGCAGCCTCGGGATCTCCGCAGCCCGAGGAAGTTCTTGGCCCGCCACGTGGCTACGACCACGTCAGAAAGCGGCCTCGGACCTTAATTTCCCCCCCCCTCCCCGGATCACCAGGTTTGTTTATCATCATCACTCCTAAACGCGGCTAGGACCTTTACAGTCGGACTGTTCTGGTAGGTCCTGAAGTAGCCTGACTCGCAGGGGCAGAAAGGGGGTGGGAAATGGATTATTAATAACAATAGGAATTAAAGAACCGCGCGATCGCGGCACGTTCTCTCTCCCTGTGTTTCCTTGTTCCTCCCACCTCTTTAGGTGCGGCGCGTTCCTTCCCTTCTCTAGCCGGGCCCATCGTGCTACGGGCAATGCCTGACTTGCCGATGATTCAGCGGCTGCCACTTTCCCCTGATTTCAGGCAGAGTTTGCTAGGGGGCTTGGAGGCTAAAACGTACGAAAAACAGTTTCAGGAATCGGGTATGTCTAGTCTAATGAAAAGAAGGACTAGGAGAGACATGATAACACTGTTCCAATGTTCGAGAGGCTCCTACAAAGACGCGTGCGTGTGTGTGTGTGTGTGTGTGTAACTATTTTCCAAAGCAACAGGCAAGACAAGAAACGATGGTTGGAAACTAACCAAGGAGAGAAGCAATTTAGAATTAAGGAGACATTTCCTACCGTGGGAGCAATTAACCAATGGAAGAACTTGACTTCAGAAATTGTGGGTGCTCCATCACTGAAGGCTTTCAAAAAAGGGGACTGGGCAGTTATTTGTCTGAAATGATATTGGGTCTTCTGCTCCAGCAGAGGGGGGGGGAGGGGGTTGGACTAGAAGACCTCCAAGGTCCCTTCCAGCTCTTTTTATTTTGTGTTCTATCCCTGAAAGGAACAAAAGTCTCTTGCTCGGTATTGCTTTAAACTGGTAGAGAAAAATAAGGGCCAGGTGAAATGCTCAAGACATTTATTTGATCTGAGAGAACCAACACAGGTGGTACCAGGAGATGCCTACCCCTACCCTACTGAAATTCAAACTTGTAAACTCCCCACCCCTTTGGGGACAGGAGATGGTATCATGTACAAAGGAAAGCTTTCCTACTGTTTCTTCTGCTATTGTAACTGTGTTTATGGTGGTTCTCTCAGCCTAAAGGAGAGAGTTTATATGTTTGGGAAGCGACCTAGAAGATGTATAAACAGTTTAAGAACTGCCTTGTGAATTATTTGGAATTTTAACCCAGTTTCTGCTATTGAATAAGCACCAGTATCTTCATTTGCTCTTATTTAGTTTCTGTTTGGACATGTGACATGATGTCTCATAGTCCATAACAATGTAGCCATATCTTGCATTAGCTAAAAAGGCTCATTTTGAAGTTTACACACTTCCCTCCTCTCGTTGCATCCACCTAACATGCTATGCTGTAATAATAAGGTACAGGTAGCAATTTCAGGCGTACTTAAAGAAGCACACACATATCAATTGAGCAAGACCAAAATGAAGTAAGTGTGATTTAGATCATCAAATTAAATGCAATTAAAGTTAATGCGGCTACTTCCCTTGAATACTATTTCCTTCTTGGCTTGAAGTGAGGTGTATGCAACTCATCTGCAAATATTCTATTTGCTCTGAGGAAGCTGAGGAAGAAGAATACTGACTTAGCTTGTAGATTTGGTGTAAGCACTATTGAGGAATATATGTGAAATAAATTGAACATACAGGAATATTTGGGATGTTGATTAATGTTGTTAATATCAGGACACAATCCAGTAACACAATAGCAGGACACACAATTCTGCGCATCAGTTTTTGCTGACAAATTCCTTCGACCATATCTTTGCTATTAAAATTGGATTTCTTTGCTTCTGAGGTTGGTAATGTGGTTCTTGCTTTCTGCTGGCATGATGAACTATCTGTCCAACCTAATCCACCAGGCTTCCCTTCCATTCCTTGTTCTAGCCAATTCACATTTTAGCTTTCTGTTAAAGGAAACCAAAGTCCAAGCAAGCTATTATCCTCTCCTGGAGAGGCCATATGTCTTCATGGGCATCTGCCAGCTGGGATTTTCTCAGGTCAAGAAGGAGCTAGATTCAAGCACCTTGAATGGGAGCAGGGGAAGAGAGGATGCTAGCTATTGTGTTGTTTTGATGACGGAATTGCATGTGAAATAGAGTATGGTGAAAGGCAGCATCTAACCCTAACCTTGGGCTGGAGACAGAGGGAAATTAGGAATATGGGGAATATGTTGTGAATATAGTCACAAAAGAGTTGCTAGGGAGTTTGCCACTGATTTTGTCCAGGGAACAAAGCACTTGCTATATTAAGATCCTACTCATCTGCCCCTTCTACTTCTCCCCCCCTCCACCACCACTTTTGCAGGACTTTCTTCTTCTTCTTCTTGTCCATTTTCTTGCCACATGAACAACTTTCCAAACTATGGTTTGGGATACTTGTAGCTTTCATTTTAATTCTATGGAAGTTTAAGAGGCCCATGTGGGGCCCAGGGACATCCTCAGAATAAAGATGATGCAGATGGTTTGCTATCGGCCAGCTTTGCATTATTACATTTTTATGTTACAATGCATCTTACAGCCCATGGTTGCCCTGCTAGGAATTCCTGCGATAAATAGATATTCCTATCATGTGGATGAAGCAATAATTCTCCCTTTCGTTTATGTTACAGGCTTGCCATTATCAAAAACCAAGAACTAAGCAGAAGGAGATGATGATGATCTTCATATTGGGGGTGTTGGGTTGGCTTCAGAAGTGATGGGGGAAATGAGAGTCCATCCTAGTCACAAGAGTGTGAAGAACCAGGAGTGATAAAAGTTGCAACTGCGTGCTTCTTTGGGCAGAGAGTTTGTTTGGTTTGGTTTGTTGTTGTTTTTTTGCTATTTTATACTGCATGATGTAGATTGATGAAGAGATATCATTGATTTATTGCACTTGCAAGTAGCTGTTTCTGCCAAGAGGCACTCAGAGAAGCATATATCAATTAAAAACAAAAAAAAAAATCAATAAAACAGCAAAACTTAGAAATCATAAAAACACCACAGCAATCATAACATTAACTTAATAAAACATTGTCTTCTCTGTGTTCTGTACTTATTGTTAATCTCCAGTCCTGTATGTATTAGTTCAGATGAAGAGAAATTAAAAAGAAAACAGAACCTCTCAACATTCAGCAGGATCAAGAACTTAACCAAATGTAGGGTCCCTGATTTGTGCCAGTTTAGGCCCTACTGCTACTTTTGCTTCCATATCAGAAAAGAAATTTGGATGTAGAAACCACCTAGCCATTCCCAGCATTCCCCAGGGGAAGGGGGATTTTTTTTGGAGGGTGTTAAATCTTAAGAGGGAGAACATTCCCCCTTCAGGATCTTGTCCCCCCGTTTCGATTTTGCGGAATCTGTATGGGCCCAACTGGCAGAATGGGGTGCGCTCTACAAGAGAGCTGGGGGTTCAACGCTCCCCGGGATCTCCAGAGGGGGCGCTGTGAGGAAGGAGCCCGGGATGTTTCTGTGCGAGATCGGAAGGAGGCGCGGCAGCCCAGATTCATTGAGAGAAGCTCGCCCCTCCCGCCCTGTAGCGATTATGCCCTCTCTTTCCCCGATCCTCCTCCTCTTTGTACTTATCCTGCATGGCACCAAATTTGAAATTCCTATGGAGGCTCATAAACGTTAAGGAGGCAGCACTGCGCACAGCCCAAGATTTCTGAGCTGCGGTCGGAAAAGGGAATATAGCCCGGGTCTAAACGGCAGCCCTGGGAAGTAGGTTCCCAGCAGAAGGAAAAGGAGGGTGGGGAAAGAGAAGGACACGTGGGGGTCCCTTGGTAGTGGACGGGGTGCCTGATTCCTCAAGGCGTTTGAAGGGCCCGGCCGTCCTTTCTGCTTGCCAGATCTCGACGGTCCTCCAGACTTCTTTCATACCTGCTTGTTTTGGCCCATCCCGGGCTTCTGCCTCTTTCCGCCTCCGGTTTCAAAGCACTTTTCTGTGGCTGGAAGATGCTATCTGTTGATCGGGCACTTCTCCAGTCTTCCACCCCCCCCCCAACTTCCTGTCTCCTGCAGCTGCCCATCTCTAGTTTCTAACCAGTCCCCAGAGCATCTCTCGATGCACTCTTAAAATGTCCGGTTTATTTTATATTTTTTCCCCCTATGTGATCTCAGCAAGCTCTTTTTCCGTTCCCGGTCTCTTTTTCCTCTTAACGCCAGCTTCTCCTCGGTATCCATCCTGGCTTTTTGCTTCATTCTCCTGTTGAACTCCTCGGTCTATCCCTGTTCCTATTCTTCCCTCCATTCCGGGCCATTCATCCCATTCCTTTCCACCCGCCTCGGTCTTTCCAGCCTCTTGCCGCCACCCACCCACACCTTCCCCAGGCTGCGCCTTCCCTTCTCTGCTCCTGCTGGCCCCCGGCCGGCCCGAGCTTTGCCTGGGGTGCGCGCCTCCGCCGCCTGCGATGCAGCCACTCGCTGCTGCCAACCGCTCGCTCTGCCCCCTCCCTGCCGAATGCAGCTCACCCACACTCGCGCACACACTCTCAGATACACAAACACACGCGCGCACACACGCACACACACACGGCGCCCGGAGGGTGGGAGCGCGGCACAGTCAGACGGGCGAGCCGAAGGGAGCGATGAGGATCGGCACCGCCGAGGGCAACCGGAGCCTTGTCGTTTGCGTCCTGGGGGCGGCTCGGCACCTCCTGACCCGAATCCCATTACCACACACGGGGGTTTGCGGTGGTCAGGCTACTGCCTGCTTCTCGGACAATCTCCGGGGTAAGAGCCTTGCATTAGCCTCCCCACCCCACCCGCAACCCACCCCAATTACTCCACATACCAGTTAGATTGGGCTTCTTCACGCCTTCAGCCTCTTAGATTTGATGCTTTACTCCTCCGAGTTGCCACCATTCCATCAGGGATCACCGCCTTCTCTAAATTTGCCCTTCCTTCCCTCCTTCCCTCCTTCCTTCCTTCCTTCCTTCCTCCCTCCTTTCCTGGATTTTGTTTTTTACCATTTTCAAACTTGCCTTGTTCTTCTTTTTCCTCCTGTCCAAAGTCTTGTCATGTTCTTTCCTTGATTCCCATCCCCCTCCTTCCAGTTTCCCCCTGCACCTTAATTTGTTGGGATTTTTAAAAAATTCAAATTGTTTATAAAGATGTAGGCATGTGGTAGTTTGAGTCTAGTTTCCAGTTAGAGGTGGGAACTCTTGGCACAACTAAATGGGAAAGTTTGTTTGGATCCTGCGGGTGTTTCCTGAGAAATAACTCTTTTCTCTTCCCAACCTCCCTTCTCTGGGGCTCAGGGCTAGTTTGCCCTGAGAAACAGCAGTTTTCACACCCTAGTAGGTACAGAAAAATGATAAGTGTTCTCTTGCCTCTGCCAAACTCTTTGACAAAGCTTCCTCATGCCACATCTTGGACACAGCATTATGAAGAGACATCATACTTTTCTGTCAGTGGCCTTTTGACTCTTACAATATGAAATAAGTCCTGTTGGCTCCTCTAGTCATTTGAGCTCTAGATTCCTAGATGTTATTCTAGCTCAGGAGAAGGATTTACATAGTTACCTAAGAGCTGATTTCCAGGCGTCTTCCTCAAGGATGGTGTGTAATTGTGGATCTCATTCCCTTGGCCAGCTTTCTTGGTTTCTCTTCCAAAAATGCAGTCAAAAGATTGGATCCCAAACTAGTGTCTTTTAGGATTAGCAGTTAATTAAACCATATTTCTCATGTAGTATTTTGGGGTTCTAGGTTTCAAAGCAGGACAAGTTCAATAGCTTAAGAACTGCTGCATTCACTCCAAATGCCATAATCTAATGGCATGCAGTTATTTCTTTCTCATAGTTTGTTGTTTTTCTATTTCTTTCTCTCTCTCTCTTCCCCCACCTCTTTCTACAGCAATGTGTGTCCTCCCTAAAGGTGAAGATATCAACTGAGCCCCTTTCTCCTACCTCCCCATCCGATGTTGGTATCCTGCCATCCATTTTCTCTGCCAACAGGAAGAAAGGATCAAAAGACAAAGAACAGCAGAATAATATAATTCATTGCAGGTTACCCGAGAGGAGTGTCCGTTATGTTCAGTCTGCACAGGACCAAATGGTCAAATTAATCTGTCACCAGGCGCAAACTATGGAGAAGGCCCCTGTCACCTGCATTATCTCTTTCCGATTCCACAATTATTGATAGTAGAGCATTTTGATCTGAATACAGAGCTGGAATGCTGTTTGGTAGCAAGTTCTCTAATGCATCCAGATTTGTTAACATCCACTGAAAACAGCTTGGATATTTTTGCACGGGAGGAAAAGACGTCACTTTTGGGGATACTTTGTTGTGCCTGGATATTTTAGACAGAACTAATCCAGATGGCTACATTCCTATTGAGACCCTCTAAGTCGCTGACTTATGGTTGCAACTGACCAAAGTAACCAGCTGAAGAATTCTTTCAGGCGCCTTTCCACTAGACAGCACCTGTTTTACCAAGAGTTTTAGCGCATAGAGGTTTTGATGGTGATACAGCTTATACAGTATGGCTGCAGGAGTGGCAACCTGGCTGCCCTTTGCCCGGGCAGCAGCTGTGGGCTGGCTCCCACTGGCCAAGAAGCCTATGCCCAAACCTCCTCTGGACAGTAAACGCCGCCATGATGAAATCTTAGTGGTCAACGTTAGTGGAAAACGCTTCCAAACGTGGAAGAATACCCTTGACCGTTATCCAGATACCTTGTTAGGCAGTTCCGAGAAGGAATTCTTTTTTGATGAAGACAGTAAGGAATATTTCTTTGATCGTGACCCAGAGATGTTTCGGCACATTCTCAACTTCTATCGTACTGGCAGGCTCCATTACCCCCGCCAGGAGTGCATACAGGCCTTTGATGAAGAGCTGTCCTTTTATGGAATCATCCCAGAGCTGATTGGTGACTGCTGCTTGGAGGAATACCGAGATCGTAAGAAGGAGAATGCAGAGCGCCTGGCTGAGGATGAAGAAGCCGAGAATGCCAAGGACACTTCCTTGCCGCCAGATAGCACATTCCGCCAACAGCTCTGGAGAGCGTTTGAGAATCCCCACACCAGCACCATGGCTTTGGTCTTCTACTATGTGACTGGTTTCTTCATAGCCGTCTCGGTTATTGCCAATGTGGTGGAGACGATCCCATGCCGGCCACCTCCTGGGCAGAAGAGAAACATGTCCTGTGGAGATCGTTTCCCCAAAGCTTTCTTCTGCATGGACACAGCCTGTGTCCTCATCTTCACCTTTGAGTATTTCATGCGGCTTTTTGCTGCCCCAAGTCGGTTTAAGTTCATGAAAAGTGTGATGAGTATCATTGACGTTGTGGCCATCATGCCTTATTATATTGGGCTGGTGATGCCAGAAAATGAAAATGTCTCTGGGGCCTTTGTGACCCTGAGAGTCTTCCGTGTCTTCCGCATCTTCAAGTTCTCACGTCACTCACAGGGCCTAAGGATCCTGGGCTATACTCTTAAGAGCTGTGCCTCGGAGTTGGGCTTCCTTCTGTTCTCCCTCACTATGGCTATCATCATCTTTGCTACTGTTATGTTCTATGCTGAGAAGAGCACAACGGAGACCAACTTCACCAGCATTCCTGCTGCCTTCTGGTACACTATTGTCACCATGACCACACTTGGGTGAGTTCCCACTTTCAGACATGGCCTTAAGGTCTCAGCTCTACACTATTTATCTCATTCTTCTCCCTGCTCAAATAGAAAAAGAAAATCTCCAATTACACCTCTTTTGGAAGCTGATTATCAGGTTGATATCTAATGGCATCCTGACTTCCTTGTTAATTAATGTACCTCAAGTCCAGGCTATCGTCAGATAATGAGCTGTGGGAATTAAGAGCTTGTCAGTTTCCAGAGTAGACATAAAAGCCAAACCATTAGGAGATGGGTAAGCATTGAGTCCATACAGGTCACTACATTGGTTTGGAAGTTATGTCATCTACAAATGGGTCCAGATAGCCTCTTCCCCAGACACTCTTATAAAGTGATGGCAAAAAGGTGGCTCTGCCAAATAAAAGAGAGAACATGTGTCCTCACCTTTAGATGATTCTGAGATCAATGCGGCATTATCTTCAAGGAGATACTGCAAAAAAAAAAGTGCCTTTATCTTTGGGGAAAGATGAGGAGGCACCCATATGAGAAACAAGAGAAATTGAGATGGGGCCTATTGAGGTCAAATAAGTGGGAGTTGCAAAGTAAAAGGACAATGGGAGAAGGAAGGAAGGAAAGAAGAAAAGAAGGAGGGAAGGGAAGGGAAGGAAGGAAGGAAGGAAGGAAGGAAGGAAGGAAGAGAGGGAGGGAGAGAGGGAGGGATGGAGGGTTTAGGAAAGATGTATAAATATGTGGATCTTTTCCCTCAAAAATATAAGCACCGTTTTTGTATCTGTTATGGATGAAAACTTTAGCCTATTCTTTCAAATATAGCATTCCGTCCATTTCACTATTCTGTACACAATGCGCTGACTTGTAATCATAGCTCTGGCTGCTGTACAGAAGCACTGACCTTCCTTTTTAAACCACCACATTGGGGGAATATGTATGCATTCTAGAACTGTATGCACTTTCTGGAAAATCAAAAAGTGATTTTGGGTGTGCTTGTGCATGCATACTTGCCAGTTGGATTTTTAAACATTCGGACTGGGGGTCTGGTGTTTCAGAATGTCAGCTGCCTTCAGAGATTTATTTTCCTCAGTCAACTGATTGATCCTCTTTTTCCTCTGAATTCAACTGGATATCATGTGTTACTTTAGAACAGGATAAGAAAATCTAGTGTCTCGAGATCTGTATAAAATTTTGGTTCCAGTTCGTTTCTGGGCTTTCCAGGGTTCACATTCCATGATGGGGTTAGTACCGTATGATCATTTTTAAAATTAAGAGGTTAAATCAAATTATTACTAAGTTATTAAAATCATGTTGTTATTGATGTATCTTATATAATACGTAGCACTTTATAATTTACCATTAGCAAAAGACAAGTTTCTTCTCTCAAAGGTTTATTTACAATATAAAGAGAAATTGAGGCATTGTCAGAAAAAGAGAGTTAAAGGGAGTTCTGTGAGCAAAAGCAAGATGTGAGTGGCTATTTTGAAAGATTCAGGGTGGTATAGATCAAGGGCTTTTTGGAAGTCTGCAGGAAGCCTGAGGCTAAGCGATGCTGCTAGGTTTATTATTAACAAAGGGCTTTCCTGTATTCCAATGAATCATTACTTCTGGCATCTATTTTTGTATCTGTTTTGTTTTATCGTTACTGGGAGCATTCAGGCTGCCACAAGACTTCAGTGTAGAATCAAAGTTGGGAGTTTTTATAATCCACCGGCTTCCATCTGGGAGAACTTATGGACGTGTGTTGAGACTGTGTGAGACCCAGTTTTTTAATTCTAGAATTTTTAATTCTCATTCTCCCTGTAAGATTCCCCAAGTAACGTCTGGAATTACCCCCATTTTATCCTAACAACAGTTCTATGCAGTTGGTCCAGGGTTAAGAGAAAAGGCAGTTAGAAAGGAGGGAGTTCTGGAGAGCCACGGGCAAATGTCAAAGAGATTTGGAGAATCTGGTCAGATATACTGGGAGTATTTTCAAAAGTTGTCCAGAATAATCCTTTGACCAACTATTAATTTCCAAGAAGAGGGCTCTGAGGCTTCAAGCCTCCCTGGAAGCCATTCTCAGTCTGTCTGACCAAATTTCCTAAATCCTCTTGACATTTGCCTATGAATCTCCACCAGCAAAGGATAAGAGAAAGAGAGAGAGAGGGAGAGGGAGAGGGAGGGAGGGGGAGGGGGGAGGGAGGGAGAGAGGGAGAGAGCAAAAATATAAGTGCTGCTTTGAATCAGACACTAGGACTCTGGTTGAAAATAAGCAACCAGGAAAAAGAAAAAAGGCTAGATAAGGAGTTAGTGTCATTTATTGGGCATGTTTTGCCTTGATTCTGATGAAGGAAAGAAGAGAGGGACGGAAGGAGGAAGAAAGGAGGGAAATGATCCACTTCTCAGAGATCAGTAAATCATTATCTTACCAACTGGAATTGGTGTTGCTGAAACTGAAAATCTGGGTGATGGATTTGTTAAGGCAATCATTAAAGATCACTTTCATTTTTCCATATTCTGGATGTGGGGCTGGTAGTTCAGTGCAATGATGGGTTGGCCAGAAACACAGCAGGGTTTTAGGATAGAATAAATTATTATGGTAGAAGGAAGCTGTGGTACATGCTCTTTTCCCCCCTCAGAATGTATCCACATGCCGATTTCCTGACAGTTTTGAATCATGAAAGGGTAGATTGTGCCACCAGACCAGGGCAAATGGAGCCTTGATTCACTATATGTTGGAAGTGGGCCAGGTTGGGACTGAAGGCTGATCCTTCAGGATCAAGACCGTTGGAAATCTGGCAAAGAGGAGAAGGAAGAAAGGAGCATGAACAGGTGGTGACTAGTTTGAATGAAAAGAATCATCTTTCTCTGCTGTGTCTAAACTTAATGAGAACCCACTGGTTGCTATAACATTTCCCCAGTGTCAGCAACTGAGCTAGCAAGAACTCTTGGCTCCCTCCTTCCCAGTCTCTACTAGGCCTCTGTTGAGAATTTCCCTTCCCAATAAATCCCAGCCATAATTCCCAACTCCTTTCCTAGTCTCAACCAGGCCACAAACCCCTGCTTTCTCATTCCACTCTCCTCTCCTGAAATCTGATGGTTCCCATTATTGGGAAGCTTAATTATCTGCCCTGTTCCCATCCCGCTCAATTAAGTTTTAATAACTTGCTTGCACTTGTGCCAGAGAGACACCCGCTGTCGACAAACATACCCCCCTCCCAGTTCCCAGCCCTGAAGACGTCAGTGAAAGCCTCTGTTTCCACATAAAGGGGTACCAAGGCATCTGAGTTGCTTTCCCCTCAGGAAGCGAGGTCTCCTGGCATCCTATTTGGTAACCATCTCCTCCCAGAATAAAGTCTCTCTTTTTCCTCATGGACTTCTCCCTTGCCTGTTCTCCGGAAGCCCTCACGCAGCTCTTTCTTTTTCTGCCGGGTACACATGGACCAGCCTTTGATGCTTTAAGCAGCAGAATATTAAGCCAGGCTCACCGTTAATCACCACAGTGATCCCAGTGGCTCTGCAGCTCTTTTAGCTTGGCAGAGGCACAGCTTTTTCCTTCCCCCATGGGATCCCAATAGGACTCCTTGCTTTCCTGGGTGGGAAAAGCTCTTTGCAGGGAGCCCCAATGATGGAGGGTCTTAGCAGTTTGGATAGAATTTATTTTTCTAAGGGTCATATAAATAACAAATCAAGACTACCCGCTGTTGCCAAATATTACCTTGGATATGCTTTCTAGAAGGAATTTACCATTTTATTTATTACTAAATTTATTTTCTGCTCATCTTGCCGTGGGTCTACTCTGGGCGGCTCTGGTGTGGAGTAGTGTGTAATGTTAGGTCACCGCAGCCATTTCTCAGGAGTCTTTGGCCTAGGACTTTAGCCACACAAGCAGGAAAATTGTAGAACTGAGCTTTTGAGATAGCTGGAGAGAACCATTTGGGGGCAAAAATGAACAAGGTCCTACCTTGTCATTTCTATTCTCCACCTGTAAAATGCGAAGAATAGAGTGAATTACCTTTCAGGATTGATGTTAATGCTTAATGGATCCAGTGAATCAGATCAAGCCATCAAGCTTATTGCAATAGTTGGCCACTTAATTTAGATCCATCTGTGACATTGACTCTCTCTAAATTGCCTTGCTAGGTCAGATTGCTGCTCTTATCACCTCATAGACTTTTTTTTTTGCACAGTTTTTGAAAGTGCAGGAGACCCCTCAGGCTCTAAAAGGGCACTCCCTAACATGGTCGTGCATGCTTGGAATGATGGGAATGGTAGTCTTAACACATTTTGGAGGTAGGCTGGTTGGGGAAGGCTGGCTGGATCACAGTCTCCAGAGTGCTCTTGCTGTGGCTTGCTGCCATTCTTGTTCCCAGGGCCTGGGTGAAGCTTTTCTCCAGCTCTCCATTTTCCAGCCTGACCTCTGGACAACGTCCTCAGTTATTCAGCATTCTTTCTGTGCCACCCTGCCAGGGGTGCCTAGCTTGTCTTGCCCTGAGGAAGAATAAGTTGTACATACTTCCCTGGCTGCCATATTTTTCCTCCTCTTTCCTGTCTCTTCTCCTTTCTGTTCCTAGTACATTTTGTCTGCCCATGGACTTCTTGATTCTTAACAAAAATCTCCTGACAGCTTTCCTTCCCCTCGGTTTTCTAGCCTTCGATCTTCCCGCAGACTCAGCTAACAGGACACCATCCTTCATGCAGAAAAGTCCAAATTAAAAATAGCTCTGGGGTGCTGCAGCCTCTTGTATAAGGGGGTGCCTTGCCACAGAATGGGTGGCGTGGCATCAACATGTACCCAGAGAAAGGCTCAAGGATACATCCGGCTGCTCTTTCTATTCGACATGGTTCCATCTTAGCATCAAAGAAGAAGATTGTTTGATTAGTTTAATTCTCTCTTTCCCTCCCCTTCCCCCCCTCCACCCAAGGTGTCTTTGGCTGTTTGTCCACTTCTGCAGGGGCAATGCCAGTGCTGGGTTTCCCCAGCCCGGATGCAGCCAGGTCAGCAATTCTGAGCTTTTATTGTTGTTGCTGAGTAATTTCTC